TCGACTATTGAAGATGAGCGAATTATTAGAAGTAAAAACAAAAAAACAAAAACAAAAAAAAAAACATTTTTTATTCATTGTTGAAAAATTATTTTTCAACTTAAAAATTTCATTGAAAATGTATTATTAAGACTCAACAAATAAAAAAATTTTTAAGTTTATATACTAAAATAACCTTTTATTCAAAACTCATGAAATTCTTAATAAGCCGAAAACTAAGTATAATTCATGACATATTTTATTGAGAAGAGATTAATTAAGCCTCATTACAATATTCATGTGCAATTTATCATAAAAATATAGGCACTTAAATAACGAAATAAAGCAGTGTCAGAAATATAAGCCTTTATAAATATATCCAGGGTGCCAATTTCTTTATTATTCATGATATAAATTTGTAGATGAATTTAGTACAGAATAGTATTTAATTGTTTTTTCATATTGATCTATTTAATAAATGACTGTACTCTTTTGTTATCAGAAAAGGATTAAAAAATGTATGTACGTATGCATGTAGTATATATAGATGTATGTGTTCTTGTATGCGTATATATATGCGAACATATGTATGTGTTTACACATATATGCACACAGAAACATACACATGTGTACACATGCATTCTTGAATCTCCCTCGATAGCAGAATAGTATCTAAATTACTTTTATCTTTTTAATTTATTAATAATTTTTATGAGTTATAAATAAAAAGCTTATGCAATAAAAAAAATTTCAATTTTTATTTCTCAATTATAACTCCAAAACATAAATTCTTAATTCCTTTTCTATTCAATTTCGAACTGGCAACAAATTTCTTGTTTCTTTAGAACCAGTGTAAGGCCGTTATCGTAAAACATCAAAAAGTGTTTTCCCTGTGCTATTGAGGGTCATTAATTGTCGTCAGGGTTGGAGCAATGCTTGTCCCCTTAGGCATATGGGGGTGAAAGTAAGACAAAAATCTGGGTTAGCCATTCTTGACATATCTTTTAAGTGTAACAAAAACATGGAACAGTCCATTTCCGAGGTCATATTTAAAATGACAATAATCAGGGACAAACCATTTAGAAGCCTACGTAAAAGTACGAGATATTCTCGGTCAAACCATTAAAAAGGGTTAATAATAAATGTTTAAAAATTAAGCAAAAGAGTAAGAGATTATTTCAAATTCAGAAAATTGTCTCAAATGACATTTATCCAGCGACGAGATTCAGCCAATCTGCACTGGTTTTTGGAAAACTATTTTCCAAGCTATTTTTAAGAAAATCACTGTAAAAAATAATAATATTTATTTAGGCAATTTGTTATGTTTTAATCTGTGTAGCTAACTACCATTCACATAGCAGAAAGTTCATTTAAAATTAGGCAAAAAAAGCAAACATAGCTCTGAATATAACTTTCTTACGTACAAATGCTTTCTCTTCATCAGGAGCAAAAAATATTTAAGTTTTCAAATACTTTTTTTTTTTCACCTGAAGACAAGGGGTCTATATTTTATCGCCCTCAAAATCAACAAGAAGTTTACTTAAAACCTACATCAATCTAAGACTCTTTTTTTTTTTTTGCCTTATTTTAAACTCTGCATAAGTAAGTTTCTTATTCACCTAGTGAAACAGTTGTTAGATTTTCAGAATTGCCCAAGTCCCTTTATCATCAAAGCATTTATTTAACATATTTCTAAAAAGTTAATCTAATTTACTAAACTATACTGAATGATAAAAAATATTGTTATGAAATGTCCAGGCACGGTAAAATAGCTCCCCCGCAAAGCAGGTTTAGAAAAAGGCCATAAAAAGGCAAGAGAAGGCGGGTTTGCCACATTTGGTGAGAAATCACCCATTTGGCAACATGCCATAGACGGATGAAGAACCTTCTGGAACAAATTTCTTACTGGTTTAGCCCTGAATGTTCTCGTAAACAAGCCAAAAACTATATAAACCCTGCTGGTATGCAGACAGTCAGTCAGTGTCTCGTCTAGCAAGTTGATTGCAAGTCTGTGCAGAGTCGATCGAGTTGATAGTTAGTTAGGGTCTCATCTAGCAAGTGGAACACGAGTCAGTGAGAGTCCATTGAGTTGATTGTCAGTCAGTAGGTGTCGAGTTGGCCGTGGAGTGCACCAAAAGAGTCTCTTAGTGTATCGTGAGTTAGTGCATGGCCAAGTTTTATCTTAGAGTGTGCTGAGCTCTGGGAACGACTCAACCAAGGAGTCAGGAGCTGTACTCTAGTGTATCGTCGAGTACATCGCAAGTTGTAGCATGGAGTCTCGAGAGTACACAGAGTTCTGACAATGACCGAGCAGAGTCGGGAGCTGTACTATGGTGCTTTGCAGTAAAGCTGTCTCCACCGATATAGCCTGGAGGCTGTGTCGCTGATTGTTTCAGCGTGTTTATAGTTCTTCGATGACTGTAAATGTGTTATTGGAGCTGTCTTGAGTAATACTGGCCAATAAAGTATGTTTCCATTCTTCATCAAGTGCTGTTAATCTGTTATAAACTCCAAATCTACAAACCCTTAACAAATGTGAAGAAAGAAAAAAAACGTAATAATATGACAGGTATCTTCCTAACAGCAAATCAGTTTTCCACAAGCGCGAATGACAGATAACGTAAATCAAAACATTAATTCTACAGACAAAAGTCGTTAATCCAGACTCGTTGGGACTTCGGCGATTACGGATTATAGATCATCAGTTTAATTCTGGTAAGATGGCATGCAGAAATTATAAAATTAAAAATATGAAAACGTAATTTATGAAATAAAGAACAATTATGATCTAAAGGGTATCAAAATTTACAAAAAAAAAAAAAAAAAAAAAAAAAGGAGGCTTGATATTTATTTGTTTACTTTATTAAACATTTCTTTCAATGTCAGTTGTTTAAGTTGCTTCGTTTTATGTGATAATACTTTCTCTTTAATTCTATAAACAGACATAATTTCTTGTTCAGTTACAAAGTTCTGCTGTTCAAGTCCTATAATTGCTGTGTCAAGAATACTAACTAATTTGTCAATCGAAATTTTTTCGTTTTCAATAACCTCTGTTCACTATCGGAAGCAAATTATAATGATGAGGAATTTGATTTAAATCATATCAAAGACGGAGTACATCAAGATGAAATACTACATTTAGTAAGGAATTATAAGCCAAATAAAATAAAATTATCTGCCCTGAAGATAAGGATAGTGCTGACAGATTAACTTCCAATTCAATGCGCACCGCAATGTTCAACCCTCCCCCCCTCCCCCGCCACAGAGCAGCGTGAAATTGATAAACAGATTTCGGAATGTACAGAGAAACAAAGGCCTTTATCCATTTTTTGCAGCAATTCCATTTTTTGTTTGATGGACATTGAAGCATACTTTCACTTTGTAGATCCTTTGGGAGCTCCAGCATTGGAAATCCTATTTGACATAATCGAAAGTTCAAGCTTACTTTTATAAAATTCCTTTAACAGTCTGCAAAAAAATAATAAGCCGGATCCAATTCGAAGATTAAGGAACAACCCATTCTGCAACATTAACTGAAATAGATAATTAGATAATTTTAGCTTTTGCCGTCTGTTATACATTAAACACGCATGCGTAAATGTACTCTGCGCATGCGCTCACGCATATGCGCAGCTGTAAAGGTCTTATGTGCATGTATAAATGCCTATGCACATGCGTCAATGCGATGCCTGTGCAGAAAGTTTGTAGCTTTGAGGTCCGGATTATAGATCATTCCAGATTATGGGTGTCCGAATTAACGACTTTGGACTGTATATGCTTGTTTGAATGCAACAAAGAACTTTCATGGAGGACTAAGGGAAACTAGCTTGTATTTAGACTGCAGGTGGTGAAAACTATAACAATACCTGTGCAACAAGCACATCTGGCCAGGTCAATTCAGGAGGTTATTTGCTAGCTGAAACATGGCAGTGTTTATTTAAACATATATGGGTAGTAGTGGTTTGGTGAGGAAGCACACTGATCTGCAGAAATCAACAACTCCTATCAGGAAGGCATCATGAGAAAGTACTGCACATTCAGAAACACCTTTTCAGATATACTTAAAACCAAGGCATATAAAGCATCCCATAAGAACCCTTCCTATATTGTCACAGAGTTAAAAATACCTCGTAGAGAACATCTCATCGCATAACTTGGAGCCATTCTGCAATGTTCCATTTTTGATGCTCTTTCATCAGATAAATCATATTGCCTTGAAACATATAGTCAGCAGTCCTGCATGAATAGCTTTTGAAACCTTGAGGCTGCTGTACTGCACTGTATTTTATACTCGCTTTGATCTACATTCTTCTGGAAATTATACCAGCTTCAGTCAGCTATGCATATGGTGACTGTCTTTTTTTTCACTCAGTACTTGTAATTCTGCTGGTTGTATACCCTCAATACGCTAAGAGTTTCTGCCACTTCAGACAGAGAATGACCTATCAGTCTTATGTAGACCATGCATCCATGTAAATTTCTCACTACTCCAATTGCCCACTTTTTTAAATGCAATATACTTCCTTGAAGCCCAGATGATTAGCTATTTATATCTTATATTTGGTGTGGGAACATTCTACAAAGCTCTGTAGAAATTGACATTGTGTTTCTGTTTCCATGTTGTGGCCATTCAACATATACTTGCTAATACAGAGAAGGAAGTCAAAATGAATTCAGGATTTCAAAGCATGCAAAATGTAATTAATGCATTTATTCATAAGATAGAGACTAAAATGTAGCAGCTTACAGACTTCATGTATGCTGTGTAACAAAAGGTACATACATTGAACATTTGTGATACTACATTAAAACCTTAATTATTATAGCTCTGCATGTAAGTATTATTCGAATAAACACGTCAATTTCATTTTGTGTCATAAAGCTTTGAAATCCAGGTATTCATTTTGACTTAACATGCATGCATGAAACTAAATCTTTAATTACTAACAGTATTACTTTAACAGGATAATATAATAAATTATGTCTAAATAATATCTAGAAATATAATATATATCACCTACCTTCTTATTTTTCTATCAGGGTGACTAACAGTCCTATATATAAGATGAAAGAAAAATATCCAAAATAGAAAGACTGCAAAGAGGCGACAATCATTTGAAGTTTGAATGAGCGGAATACAGCCCATGGACCAATCAAAACACAGCCAATATGGATGGAATAAGAGCCACACATTCATGGAGTATATGTAATGGTAATTTATTGTCTGAAAAACAATTAAAATAAAAACAGACCAATATAAAACATAACTAAATGTTTAAGCAAAAAGTTATCCTGCATTAACATACAGAAAATATTTTAGAATCATGTTAAAATAACCATCTGCTGCACTCACTCTTACAAAGATATTCTCTTCAAAAGATGCTGGATTATCAACTTGTTGGAAGACAGGTGTTGAAGCACCCATAATGTACCATCTCAGTGCTAGCAAAGAACATCCACCAAGGGTTAGAATACTTTGTCGCATGCAAAACAAACTGAAGTTCTTCTACAAAAGTTAAACAGAATATTTTAAAACTTTAAAATAAAAAAAAGCACTCGAAGGTAAATTTTAAAAATAAGGGTACTCAATATTTCGACAAAGAGCATTATGCATACAATCAACACGAATGGAAGAGTAAATCTATGTGTAAATTTTAAATCTTTACATATATACATTATATTATCAACTAATATCTACTAGATTTTGATATTAATTGGAAATCCTACACTATTGGAAGGGCTAATTAAAACTATTGAATTGGTTTTAGTTTTAATTAGCCCAATTCTATGACAAATCTGCCCTTTCTAAAAATTTGAATTTTGTAAAAAATTAAATCAGCTGCATTATCATCTAATACATAAGAAATGAAAATGAAGCGAACAATTATTTAATAAAGTAACAATAAACTAATAACCTGAAAAAAGAAAAAGGGTTTTGTAGAAGACTGCTATATATGTTTAACTAACACAAAAGCAAAAACATCTCAAGAGCTGTATTAGAGCAGTATACTACTTAACAAAAACAAACAAACAAACAAACAACAAAAAAAAAAAAGTAACCTTATTTTGGCACATATTTTAAATAAAGCTCTTTTAATACTGAGGGCTATCAGATATTAGGAATTTTCAGAGGCTGAATTTGCATACGTTACATTCTAACATAAATCACTCCTTAGGTGACTTATTCATGTTCTGTGCAAGGACCGAGCAGATTTTGATCAGCAAGGAATAATAATAAATAATCATCAGATTCTAGAAAATTGCACTTATTATGGTTTCTTGGTATTAAAAGTGGAAAGCATGCTAAAGAAAAGAGAAATTTTTTTCTAATAAATTCAGTATATCAGTTTAAGCACTTATGTAGCATTATCAACTCAAATGTGTATGCATGGAATGCAACATCAGAACTAGAATAGGAATTCAGTTTAAGGAGAGTTTTGCAAAGAGTGTATTTATTTACTACAGTACAAAGTCCGTAATCCGGAACGATCTATAATCCGGACCTCAAAGCCACAAACTTTTTTTTTGGATGCTTTACGTATGCGCGTTTAATGTATAATGGACGGTATAAGCTAGGCTAAAATTTTCTTTACTGATTCTAAGGCATTTCAGTTAATATTGCAGATTGCGCTGTTCCTTAATCTTCTAACTGGATATGGCTTATTATTTTTTGCAGAATGTTAGAGCAATTTTATAAAAATTAAGCTTGAACTTTCAATTATGTCAAAAAGAGTTTCCAATTCTGGAGCTGCCAAAGGATCTACAAAGAGAAAGCATGTTTCGATGTCCATGAAACAAAAAGTGGAATTGCTGAAAAAGCGGTAATAAATGGAACATAATATAATAGAAGTTTTTCATTGCGACGACAATGCCCCAATCATCAATCAATGGACGGCAAAATCTGTAGTATTGTTCTAGATTCAGAAAATACTGCTTCCAATAGTGAAGAAAGTGACAAAGAGGTTATTGAAAACAAAAAAATTTCGATGGACAAGTTAGTCGGTATTCTCAACACAGCAATTACAGGACTTGAACAGTGGAACTTTGTAACTAAACAAGAAATTATGTCTGTTTATAGAATTAAAGAGAAAGTATTAGCACAAAAAAAAAACGAAGCAACTTACATTGAAAGAAATGTTTAATAATGTAAACAAATAAATATTAAGCTTTTTTTTTTTTTTTTTTTTTTTTTTTTGTACCCTTTAGATCATAATTGCTCTTTATTTCATAAATTATGGTTTCATATTTTTAATTGTATAATTTCTGCATGGCAACTTACCAGATATAAATTGATGATCTATAACCAAGAAAAATCCATAATCCGGAATCGCTGAAGTCCCAACGAGTCTGGATAACGGACTTTCTACTGTATTTCTCTTATATAAACCTTATTTTGAAAGTAGTCATTGATAGGTATATATTTCACTTAAAATTCTGCAATATATGTTTGCAAATAGTTCTTTGATCCTCTGGGGCCCAGTACTTTTATCAGACCAAAACCAGTTGGACCTCTTGTGCACATTATATGGTGGCTCTCTGTAACTTTGGGCTGATCGCACAGGCTTGCCCTGGCAACGTACCTTTTGAATGTCAGCCTTATCAACTATCAATGGCAGGTTACATGCCTACAATGGTCATAAATGCGTGATGGGGAATTAGTGTTCAATTCCGGAGAGGGAGCTTGAGAAATGGCTTCCACATCCAAGGAAGGCAGCACGCATACAAATTACCCACTCCTAGGATGGGAAGGTAGTGACAAAAAATATGAAAATATGACTCTTTTGAAATCTCATAAATGAAATGGATACATTTTAAATCTTTTAACAAGGATTAACTGGAAGACAAGTCTGATGCCAGCAACTGTTATAATTCCAGCTCCAACAGCATATATTAAATTTATCGTGGTTAAATAGCTCGTAGGAGCCCTTATCCAGGCGCTACGTCTGCTTTGAGCACACTAATTGTTCCAAAGTAAACTTGTTTTTCACCCAAGACAGCCAGTGAACATCATCAAAGGAACTGGCTGGCTGTTCAGAAAAGGCAGTAACCACCAGTAGCAGGAACACCTGCCTCGAAATATGATCCAACTACAAGCTTTTTAACCGCAACAACTTTAATATATGCTAATGGAGCTGCAATTACCATGGCTGCTGGCAACAGACTTCTCTCTAATTGATCTTCTCTAACAGATTTTGAGTGCACTCTTTGCAATTACAGGGTCCTTTACTTATTCAAAATATTTTATTTCTCCAGCATGTTTTTTTCCTTGCACTAATTACTTTTTTAACATGTAATTATATTTAAAAAATAAACAGGTTTTAGATTCAATAAGTCTAGATTAAAGATAATTCTTAATACCCTTCGTGACGGCATGTTGTTGAACTAAAAATCCTCTGCAGATGGGTGTGTCATATATGCATCAGTCCCAAATGTCGCTAGCAGCAGGGTGATGCACTGTTGCATTGCCACTTCATTGATCTTCCGGATGGGTGTTGCATACATGCATTCTCAAACATATATGTTCTTTTATAATGTTTTAAATCACTAGACGGCACTCTGTGTCCATTACAGTTACCTTATTTGATTAACGCGCATACGTAAAGCATCCAAAAAAAAGGTTTGTGGCTTTGAGGTCCGGATTATAGATCGTTCCGGATTACGGACTTTGTACTGTAGTAAATAAAATACACTCTTTGCAAAACTCTCCTTAAACTGAATTCCTATTCTAGTTCTGATGTTGCATTCCATGCATACACATTTGAGTTGATAATGCTACATAAGTGCTTAAACTGATATACTGAATTTATTAGAAAAAAATTTCTCTTTTCTTTAGCATGCTTTTCCACTTTTAATACCAAGAAACCATAATAAGTGCAATTTTCATATATATTGTTGATCATATATATTGTTGACCTTGTGTCTGTGAAGTACATTCTGATTCTGGTGATCCGTTTAGATGTACGAGCAGATGATATAAAGCAAACAAAACCCAGCTGACACGCAGTTGGTTTCTTTTCATTTTTCTCAACGACTAAATTGGAAGTTTGTTTTACTTTCACCTCACAATTTAACAGTGGCTACTCTGTCATGAACTCGATCTACTAAGTAATTGAAGCCTTACGAATTTAGGGGAATTACAGAAGTAAACTTAATTCAAAGCTATGAAAATGAAATTAATAATATTTAATAATTTGTAAATGGTGACATTTAATATTTAGTAACTTGTAATTGGCAACACTTTGGACAGAGATATAAAATTAGAACTATGCTGGTATTGCAACTCTTTGTAATATAATGCATTCTATGATTATTGAATATTATTATATTATTACATGATATAGGACATGAGTTAAGTGAAAATGGACTAAAACCTGATTTTTGTAAAGTGGAAGCAATTGTTAAAATGCCAGAACCTAAAGATGTGCCCTCTCTACAAAGATTTTTGGGAATGATTAATTATTTAGCCACATTTATTCCTAAATACTATTACTGCACCATTAAGACAGTTATTTGAGAAAAATGTTCTTTGGCACTGGATTGAAAAACATAAAAAAGCTTTCAAAACACATATAAAACTGGTTGAAAAAGCTCTTTTAGAATTCTATGATGTTAATAAGGATATAACTCTTTCAGTAGATGCAAGTTCTGAAGGATTAGGTGCTGTTTTACTGCAAGGAAATAATATTTCCCTGTTTGTGTGTGTGTGTGATTATGGCAAAACCTTGAGGGCTATCTGCCTAAGGGGAGGGATGCCTTCGTGGAGGACTTTCTAACGGAAACTGGCTCGTATACACGTTACACATGGGGAAAACCACGAAAACACCCATGCAGCCAGCCCGTTCGCGGGATTCGAACCTCGGACCGAACTACCAGTGTTCAGCGACTTTACCGCTCGGCCGCTGGTGGGCACTGCAAGGAAATAAACCAATTTCTTATGCTTCCAGAGCTCTAAAGAAAAGTCAGAAAAATTATGCTCAAATAGAAAAAGCGCTTTTAGCTATAACTTTTGGATGTTCTAAATTTCATTAATATATATAGTATATGGCAAGCGTATTACAGTTGAAACTGATTTTCAACCATTAGAAAGCATAACTAAGAAATCTCTTTGTAAAGCACCGCAGTGATTGCAAAGAATGCTGTTAAATTTACAAAAATATGATCTAGATGTATGATATAAAAAGGGGAAAGACTTATTAATAGCAGACACTTTGAGTAGAGCATATTTGAATACAACAAAAGATAATGATGAAGATACAGAAATTTGTACGCTGATTCCAGCATCTGATGACAAAATTTATGAACTGAAGAAAGAAAGTGAATGTAATGCTACACTACAGTGTTTAAAGTCTGACAGGTTGGCTAGAAAGGAAACATCAGGTAGAACCTCAAGTCAAAGTATTTTGGGACTATAGAAATGAGTTGACAATAGAAAATGACTTCTTTTTCAAAGGAGGAAGGGTAATTGCTCCTTTATCTATGCAAAAAGAGATGTTAAATTTAATTCAT